TATTCACCTATTCACCGACAGGATCTCTCATTCTCACAACCACCCTGCAGGTCAAGTAGTATTACTGCCATTTCACAAAAATGGAAACTAAGGGTGAAAGGTTAGTTAACTTGCCCAAATTCACTCAGCTAGTGAGCAGCAGAGCTGGCATTCATATCCAAGGCTGTCAGACTCTTCAGCTGCAGTTGTTTCCATTTATCACACTGCTTCTCTAAGATCCTGCAAGAAGAGGCATGTGCGCTCTCTGCCCCCTCTCTCTCTCCGCTCTCCCCTGCCCCCATTATGTCACAAAATAATCCTATTACCTGTTCAAAGGGCAAAGTTATAGACAATTTTGTCTAGGTCCCAACAGATAAACAGTAAATATTAACCCCAAGGCTAGTCTGAAGCTCCAATTGCATGAAATGCTTTCAAGATACTCAATCTTGTTTTTGGTGGGGAGATGAAGACCTAAAACATCTTTGCCTTATTTGGCTGCTTTATTCTTGATAAAAACCTAACCAACACCCAAACTGAACATTATACTGATGACTCTTTAATTCATTAATTTTAGTGTTGATTTCTAAATAAATTTCAGAGTGCCTACAGTAAAGACACAGTAATTTTAGATGGATTAAAAGAAACCTCTTTTCGAATTTTATCAGAACAAGCCTTAAAAAGATGTTCAAGTTGACTATAGTTAGTAATGATGTACTGTATACTTGAAAATCGCTCGGGGTAGATTTTAAGTGTTCTCACCACAAAAAAATGTATGTGAGATAATGCATATGTTAATTAGCTTGATTTACCCATTCCACAATGTATACATATTTCAAAGCATCATGTTGTACACCACAAATATATATAGTTCCTATTTGGCAACTAAAAATAAAAAAAAAAAAGATGTCAACTCATCTACTCTAAAATATCCTTAGTTCAGTAAATAAGACTTTTCTCACATTTCAGAAATATTCCCACATTGATATATACTTTTTAAATTCCAAAATTTTATACTGTGTTTTATCAAATGGTTTAAAAAAACAAAACTAGTAGGGTGTATACATAAAAAGATACATACATATCTCATAATTAGCCCACAGAACAAAGGAATAAATATATTTTACCATCTCTTCTGTCCTAATAGCCCTAGAATGAATAAACTATTATACTGTGTTGCTCCCCAGAGTCTATGCATTAAACACAGGAGTCTGGACTTTATGTATTCATTTGTTCCCTGAACCACTTTTTATTGGATGTCTACTATAACAAACGTCATGTTTAATTAGGAGCCAACATTAGACCCATCGGTCAAAACATGTAAACTGGATAGCCAGGGCTACCCTGGTCCACATTTGCAGGGGTCCATTTACATTATAGTTGTACAGTGGCCTGCTGTATGTGGCAACCTCGTAAATAAATCTTTAGCATGTCCAAATTATACATCAGGGAAATGCAAATCAAAACCATAATGAGATATCATTTCATATCCACTAGGATGACTATGATCAAAAAATAACAAGTACTGTAGAGAATGCAGAGTAATTGGAACCCTCATATACTACTGGTGGGAATATAAACTGGTACAGCTGCTTTGGAAAACAGTCTAGTAGTTTCTCAAAAGGCTAAACGTAATTGCCGTATGATCCAACAATTCCATTCCTATACATATACCCAAGAGAAATGAAAATACAAAAACCTATACACAAATGTTCATATTGTATTCATAATACCTAAAAAGTGGAAACAACTCAAATGTCCATCAAACTGATGAATGGACTAAAATGTGATATATTCATACAATGGAATATTATCTAATAATAAAAGGAATTAAGTATTGACACATGCTACAACATGGATGAACCCTAAAAACATGCTAAGTGAAAGGAGCCAATCACAAAAGACCACATATTACAGGATTCCATTTATACGAAACTTCCAGGCAAATCTATCAAGACAGAAAGTAGATTAGTGGTTACCTAGGTTTGGAGGGGAGGGAGAGGATTGGTGGGAGTGACAACTAAAGGCTATGGGGTTTCTACTTCAGATGATGACAAAATTTCTAAAACTGATTACGATGATGGTCTGATTATGATGATTCAAACAATTTTGTGAATATACTGGAAACCACTGAATTGCACACTTTAAATGGGTGAATTGTATGGTATGTAAATTATATCTTGATAAAAATGTTAAAAAAATTTATTTCAACACTTAAGTTGAATCTAGGATTAGAAAAGAACACCTAACTCCTGTCCATCTTCTACCTAACTGTACTATTAATAATTAAAAGGCATAGGAGATGTCAATAAGATCTAAGGAATGACACCTCTCATGACTGACACTGATCATGTTAACATCAGAGGCACTCAAAGAATAGTTTGTTACCTGCAGCTGTTGTAAGGCAGTACCTGACTCATCACCACCAGATCATCTCCAACTTTCCCTATTGTACAAACTGATGTTGCGCAAAATGGCACCTGGACTATCTAGCTGCAAAGTGAAACTCCAGGAAGCTGAAGACTGCTTACGAAGAAATTAGGAACAGTCTGGCAGCTGCCTCAGATTAAAGGAGAACTACGAAGCAACCTGAGTAACAAGTAGATGACTCAAACCCTCCACCTCTCAGAAAGCCAGAAAACTCCTAAAGGCCATGAAGCAGTACCATCATATCTAATCTGACCAGAACCAAGTAAGAGCCAATAGCTACTGGCAGAGAAGAAATGTATCACTGATACCTTGGATGAGGCATGATGTCCAAAAACTTTCAGCTATAATACTCATATATTCATTTATTCAACAAACACTGGCCGGGCGCGGTGGCTCACGCCTGTAATCCTAGCTCTCTGGGAGGCCGAGGGCGGATTGTTTGAGCTCAGGAGTTCGAAACCAGCCTGAGCAAGAGTGAGACCCCGTCTCTACTAAAAATAGAAAGAAATTAACTGGACAACTAAAAATACATAGAAAAAATTAGCCAGGCATGGTGGCGCATGCCTGTAGTCCCAGCTACTCGGGAGGCTGAGACAGGAGGATCGCTTGAGCCTAGGAGTTTGAGGTTGCTGTGAGCTAGAATGACGCCACGGCACTCTAGCCCGGGCAACACAGTGAGACTCTGTCTCAAAAAAATATATATTTATTTCACGCTTAATATTGCATATGGTTTGATAGGGAAGATCCATAAGCAGCTAAGACACAGTGGACAGTTCCTGTCCTCAAGAAACGTAAAATCAATTTAAAAGCAATCATAACATCTAGACTGCAAAGACTGGATAAAAAGGTCATGCTGATCTCAAAGGCAGCTATACTGTGACAAAGAGCATTTGTGTTTATGTACACTACCATGACGTCATAAAGAACAAGGACTGTTTCATCATCATTTTAAATGAGACCTACATACATGAACCATTTCAACTACTCTCTGCCACTAATCTCTCCCTCACACTATTCTTATTCTGCATTGCTACCAGGATTATCTTCCTAAAATAAATTCAAAATTGAAACAGGATACCATATTTCTCCCTATCAGATCGGCAAAAACTAAAAAGGAAAATAATACTCTGTGTTGGTTAGAATGTAGGAACATGGACAATCTTAAAAACTTGGTGAGGGGAATTATATTAGGCAAAATACCAAGGCAATATAACCAAACTTAAGGCAATATAAGCAAACTTGTAAATGTGTATACTCTTTGATCCAGCAATTCTAGTTCTAGATTTATTCTAAGAAATGAAACATGAAGTACACAAAGATATACAAGTGCATCATGAAGTTCCCATCATTCCCAGAAAAGGCCAGAACCTTTTTGTTTTCTTTTTTCAGACTATACCAATGTCTGGAACGTCTTCCTGCCACCCATGCCCTTCTTCATCCTGTAAAACTAGAACTCGTCCTTCAGTTCAAAGGTCAGTTACTCCATCCTGTCTCCACAGCAATTTAGTCACACCTCTGTATCATATCTTTCTCTCCCACAGTAGACTGTAAACTCTCCAGGGACAATCGTCTGTCGTATGTATTTATTTAGCACATGTCCATATCTGTACTACCTATAACATCTGATACATAGGAAGGGTCCAAAAAACGTGTGTTTAATGAAGGCATTTTCTTCCTCCTTCCACAAAGAATTCTTTGATTTTCAAAATCTCAAGAATCTTTTTAAAAGGTATTTCCGAAAATGCTGGTGGACTCGAATATATGTTATAATAAATTCCTGTATTAAAACACGTATTTGAGCAAAGCAAATATTCTTGTAAATTTAAATAGTCTCTGAGTCTTTACTTATGTGAAGTTTAGTTCCTTAAGGTATAAAAACTTCCATACTGGATCAGAACTGTGGTCTATCCAACCCAGAATTTTATCTCTTAAAGTGGTACCAAAAAATACATTGTAAGAAGACACAGCCGTCCTCCCAGATGCTAAGATAAACGTTTAGAAGTGTGTTCCAAAACACTTTACTTTTCTTCAATAACCTAATAAGAATCCATCATACTTGAAATCATGTTTTAGAATCATTTTTCAATACTATGCCAGAGCTCTTTTTCATGCTGTTATATAAATGGTATTTTACATATTATATAAGTAGAGTACATAAGTATTACACAATCAGTACTGTGCATCCATATAGCTTAAATTCTTGGTTATCCATTTTTTTCCCAAGTTGAACTCCTTTCAAGTTTCAAAGAGAAACGGTTTCTACTTCCAATAAAGGCCAGTAACAGCCTAATCACATCCTTCATGATTTCACAAAGTTCAGTTCTATTCCTTTCAGCCTTTGTCTTTCTAAACTCAAGAAATCTCATCTTCCTATTGCGTCCTTATATAAAAACAACTCTTTATTCTGCCCAATTTCACTTTTCTTAATTTTGAGTTATCTTATGGGCTCCAAACTGAAACAACAATTCGGGTAGGTCTATGAGTTTTACTTTCATTTTATAAACGTTTAAGTCAAGAAAATTTCACCTCTGATGTAAGTTAGCAAAGGTAGTCTTTGAAAACACCTTTGACAATCACTGTACCCCAAGACTTACAGGAAATCATAAGGTAGTCTTCACAGTTGCCTTTGTCATCATCTTGCTGGTCCACAGGGATCCCGTTGGCATCTATCACTGCTTCAGAGGCACAATCTGCTACCAATACTTCTTCTGAAACTACATCAGTGGTCAGAGGATCAGTGACGATTTCTGCTTCTACTACACTATCGTGAACCACATGTTCAACATGCCCAACGTCAGACACATGAATAGATTCACTTGTCAAGACGTGTTCTGGCATAGATATTGAGGCTGAAGTAATGTCAGAGGCTAAAACATCATCTGGGACCGTGCAATGTGCTAAAGAAACTTCTTCGGTTACATCTGAGTCCAGCACTTGCTCAGGAATGATGACCGTTTCGGTTACATCTGCTTCTTCCATGATATCTGGGCATTGAACATCTTCTATAACAACGTCCTCGATAACATCTTGGATTACAACTGAGTCTGGGTCATCAGGAACAAAGTTATGCACAGTTATGTCTGAATCCACAACATCTGAAACAAAAACAGTTTCTTGTACTTCCACTACGATTTGATCACCATCCATGTGTGCAGCATCAGCTCCTTTAAAAAAAAATTAAAATGACAAATTTCAGGTAGGCATGCATGACCATCTCAATTAATGTAAATGTTACTTAATTTCTACCAGGAAAACAGTCTAGCTCCTCACAGGTTTCTCAAACATTAAGACAGATTAAAGAAATAAAGAGAGAATCTATTTTTCAATCATATTTGAAAGACATTTTTAACACAAGAACTTTTGTACTCATCCCAAATCAATTAATAGATTAAAAAAAATACTAGGAGAACAAAGCAATTGAGGCAGTCACAGAAGAAATATATTCATGAAAGTAAAATTCTAGGCACACTAAAATTAAACTCATATACATAGGTACTTAAGGGAGGACTATAAAAATTAACTGAGTAATACAACTTGAGATGGCAAATATACCATTTTCCTTCATCATGTGTTTTTCCTTCTTGCTCCATCTCCCTTTGCTCAACTCGTATTTTTTCTTCTTTCCATCTCTCCCATATATTTCTTTTACTTCCCTCCCATTTTTTTTCCTTTCTCCCTTCACATTCTTCTCCCTTAGTTCTAGTGCAATACATCACCAATATCCTCCATCTATGACTATGAAAATTTAGAAATCATCCTCTGAATCTAGGACGTAAAAGGATCAGCGCATAAACGAAAAGAGGGAGAGAAGGCCACAGTTAAGGATGAAAGGCAATTGGTTGAGGAAGCTCTAGGGATAGACAAGATGAATAAATAAAACTACAGCTGCGCTGGGGTGGCAGAAGGTGGAGGTATTTGGAGCAGGGCCTGCCCCAACTTCACCAGGGTACTCTGCCTCCAACTAGCCTCCTCCCATCCCCCAAGACCCCACATCCCCCTCCAAGGCAGTTTCTCAGAATATAGGAAACCCGACTCTAGTCCATTTTGCAGTTAAGGAATGAAGGTAGAGGATTCAATCAATTGAAGCCCAGTGAGATTAAATGACTTAACCAAGATCACACAGTTTGTACAGTGTATGGTGCTCAGTAAATATTATTCTGAATGAATGCCACAAATGGGAATAGAAATCATATATCCTTACCAAAAACAAGATAAAACAAAACAAATCTAGTATCTTGGCTCCTACAAAGAAAGTTTTATAAAAGTCTTACCTAAAAAGCTACTCAGATTAGTGCTTCTGGTTGTGACTCAGACCAGGCTGAATCCAAGCAGATGCCTAACTCAATAACTGTGTGTCACTGGCCAGGCCCTCAGAGAAACACATGGCTTTGTCGACCAACCAAAATGATTGAGGGCCAAAGAATATTAAAAATGATAGGAAGTCTTTAAAGTCAATTAATATCCGTTTTAATTACATCTAGAAATAATAAAAAGAATATGTTTAATTTCTGTAGAACTTCTATAAAATGCTTTATACTTATTTGTTTTCAATTATTCTCAATATTATCATCAAGCAATAGATCACTATAAGCTCCACTTCGCAGACATGAAGATAGATGAAAGCATTTAGTGGCAAGAGCACCGGTTACAAAATCTAAATCAGAGAACAGAGTTAGACACTTATTAGTTTTGTGACCTTGGGCAAGTCATTTAACCTCTGAGTTTCAGGTTCCTCATCAGTAAAATGAGGACAGTAGTATCTGCCATGCATACCTCACAGGACTGTGGTGATGATCAAATGGGAATATATGGGAAGTGTTCTGAAAAACTGTAATGAGAGGTTTCATTATTATTATGACATATGAAAATGGAGGCCCTGGCAGATTAAGTGACTTGCTCAAAGATAAACAAATACCATAAGTGTTAACGACCAGGACTAAAATGCAATAGCCCTTCAATCTACCACTTAGCCCATGACCCAGGCATGTTTGTGGCAAGATTAAGTGAATAAATACTGTACATTTTTCTCCAAAGAGCTTAGTCTCTCTTTTAAGCACATTAATTTTATTTCATGTTCCAATGAAGAAAGAATTATAAACTTTGCATTTATCATTATCAAACTGAAATTATCAAACTTGACTTAAAAGACTATTCCAAGTTATTAAGGAAAACGCACACACTTACCCCCACTGGATTTAGAGATTAAAGAAAATTTAAAAATTAAAAATCACTAATATTTAATTTCCTGATAAAAGTTAATGGCTATTTAATATACTACAATCTGATCGTTTATAGTCCAATGGAAAACTTGTTAGCATTTTATTTATAAAGGTAGCTAGTATGACATAACACCATTTTACATTATAAAACCAAGTGTAATCAATTTACAACGTTATATAATTAGAAACATGGGTAATCCAAAATTGTGAATACTTTTTTTTCCTATTTTTAGAACTTCATGAATACAATTTTCCTTGTATACTTTGTGGAGTGAGGTAAGAATTCATCTTCCTGAAGCAGAAGGTCCCTTTTAGGAACTTGTGAGAGAGAGGGTTATAAAAGTAGGACAGGGACAGAATGTCAAGGACTTTCTTTATCTGCTGGGTGATGCAGAACAGAGAAATGACAAGATCCACATGTTCTTTTGCAAGGAATAATCTGATCAGTGGGCTAGATAAAAGAGACTAAGGATAAGGAAAATTATGCAAAATTTATTGCAGACTAAGAATGAAATGATAGAGCCTGTCTATATGTGGTAGGAAGTAGAATGAAGATAAGCAAATACAAACAAGGAATGTTTTCAAAGAGAGAATATTTTTAGTGGGATAACTGGGCAAGATGAAAATAACTGATAACACTAAGGTTTTGATATTGCTGCTGTTACTGATAAGAATATGAGAGTTGGTTGTGAGGGAATCAAATTTTTTTTTTTTTTTTTAAATTTCAGCATATTATGGAGGTACAGATGTTTAGGTTACGTATGTTGCCCTTGCCCCGCTCCCCCCAAGTCCGAGTTTCAAATATGTCCATTCTTCGGGTGGTGTGCATTGCACTCTTTGTGTATGCATATACCCGTCCCCTCCTCCTTCCTCCCCCCTCCCCCCTGCCC